ATTATTTAATTTAAATTTTATTTAAAATGGTGATGTGTTATAATTATAATGATGTATATATGATTTGAAATTCATATCATTATCATATCATCATTTCTGTTTAAGTTGTTGGGGGTTTCGACAAATTTTTAAAAAGTTCAGGGTTTTATAGATTAATCACTCCAAATATAGGATTTAATTCCTAATAAAAAAATATAGAGTTTTTTCATCGATTTGATAAGAATATTGAGTTTTTTTTTTACGATATCCGGATGAATAATAATAGTAAAGAGAAAAATCGAAATGGGTTGTTGACGAGAACAATGATCATGGGCGGATCTATGCTATAAGTTATGGAGGCATATGTCCCTACTCATTTTATTTAAAAAACTTAATTTCAATATAAATTTCATAAATTTCTAACAAAAATTGTTAAATGCCCCCCATAAAAAATTTAAATTTATCCCTTAAATTATAGTAATTTTTATATTACCCCATTAATAAATTTTCTAGATCCCTCCATGCGTATTATTTATTTATTTATTTTAATCGCCTAATATCATAGCCAACAGAATCAAAATGAAAATGCAAGCAGTCTTTCCTAATTTTCAAGGAGTCATCATTTTTAAATCCACATAATGTTCGTATAGTAGACTATATATCTATATATATTTGTTATTTAATTATATATATATATATATATATATATTCGTCAGGCGCGTTGGTCAATCAGACATCAATTAAGACCATAGTCTTGCATTATGAGGAGTACGACTTTTTTTGTCCAGTTATTTTGGTCATTTTCAACCATAAAAGACTTTAATTTATAAACACACGACATCTGTTTGTTTATTAATTTAATTTATTTTCGTGTACTTTATTATATTTATCCACAATTTAAAGTTACTTGGTGCATTAAACTTGGATTCAATACCCTATAATTATTAACCTTTACCAAAGTATTACATTTCTATAATTTTTAATTATTTCATTAATATCTACAAAAGAATATAAGACTTAAGAATTTAACATCTTCGGAAAAATTAATTTGATCAAATACCATATTTAGTTATATGTCTTTCAATTGATTAAACATATACTCACTATTAATTAGGCACTATTAATTAGGAGTGTCAAACTCAACTCGCTAGTTAGCTCATTATCGATTCGTTTTTTTAGCTAGCCAAGTTATCATTTTTAAATCTTGTTTAGAAACTAACATAACGAGTCAATTCGTTACAGCTTACGAGCCTGATAAATTAGTTCGACGAGTTATGAACTGATTCGTGAGGTAATGTATTTTTTCAAAAATTATATATATTTTTATTTTTTTTATATACGTTATAAAAAACTATTATTCAATTTAGCTTTTTATTGATTATATATAGTATTATTTTTATATTTTAATATTTAAATCTTATATCAAATATCATTTTATTTGATATAAATTTTTAGTATAAATAAAAAAATATTATATTTATTTCTATTTTGTGAATCACCTCGTTTAGTTTGGAAAATTACGAGTTGAACTTAACCAATTTTTTTTTGTCTCATTTAAAAACAAATTGCACCCAAAACGAAACGAGTCGACCGAGCGTACTATTAATCCGTGCAAAAAAGTCATTAATTAATTATTTTTTAAATTTATGGTAGGCCCAACTTTACAGCCCATATGTAGTCTCTTGTTGGTTGTTTCAAGGCCCAATGCGATCAAGTAGATTTTGAGGCCCAAATGCATGCCTTGCATATTTCTATCATGTTAAGTCGCAGAAATAATTTTTAGATGAGAAAATAAAATCACCGGCGTAGAATTTTAATCGAACACAGGCGACGTCAACTCGTAGGTTAATATGTTATTTTATAAATCTACCGTATAATATGAAATTGTATATTTTTTGGTGCATTATTGCTGAGAAAAATATTAATATGGAAATAAAAAACATATAATTTTTAAAAAATATTTAAGCTTTACAATATTTTCTTTTTAAAGTAACTCTGATATCTAATATTTAAACTTGTTTATTTGGACCAGTAAAATAGAATGCAAAACATTTGTCCCGTCCCAAATTTAAACCTTAAATTTTAAAAAAAAAATCATTTGGTTGTTTTCCGATTCTAGAACTAATTTGGGCCTAGCTATATGATACCCGATCATCAAAAAATCTGCTATTTGATATTTTGCCAGATTAGTTAAAATAATCTGCTTAGAACACAGTTTCCATACATAATATAACATATACGTCGTTAATAAAAAATAATATAACATATATGGTTATTATATTATCTACATTTCATTTGGTTATGATGTTTGATCAAATATTTTTACTCCACCAAACCCGGGGGTTAGTGTTAAAAAATATGATTTTTTTAATGTTTAATTTTATATCAACAAGATTATATCTTATACTATAACTCAATTTACATAATCTATAATTATAATTCCTAACCTATATTTATATGAACCTTTTCTTTATTCAATAAAAAAATCAAGGAAAAGTAACAAAACCACACCAATAGCGCTCTCTCGCTCGCTCTCGGAGAGCTCTGCGATCCAGCAATTTTGAACGAGACAGAAAGATCCCATCTTCCATCATCTACGATCTTGAACAATCTGTGAGTGTAGTTCATTAGGGTTGTTCTTGGATCTGGCGAATGGATAGCAATTATTCGGTAATTCCCAAAAATTCTTAGAACTCCAAAAACATACCGACAATGGGAATCCAGGAAAACCCACAAGTAAATTGCTTCCTCCTGACGAAGAAAGCTTCGTGAATGATTTTGACGATCATGGTAATGGTTTTGGTGCTGTGGGTGTGGCAGATGGGGATGATTTCGACTTCGACGTCGGTGATTATGCGCTTGTTCATGGCAAATCGAATAATACTGGGTCTGGGATTTATGGGGCGGTTTTCAATCTCACAACGTCGATTATTGGTGCCGGAATCATGGCATTGCCTGCTACCATGAAAGTTCTGGGCTTGATTCTAGGGTTTGTATTGATTATTTTGATGGGGATATTATCTGAGATTAGTGTTGAATTGTTGATCAGATATGCGGTTCTTTACAAGGCTAGATCGTACGGCGAAGTCGTGCAATGTGCTTTGGGCAAAACCGGTAGGGTTCTGTCCGAAATCTGTATTATAGTGAACAATGCTGGTGTTCTTGTGGTGTATCTAATAATCATGGGCGACGTGATGTCAGGCTCACTGCACCACATCGGGGTTTTCGATCAGTGGTTAGGTAATGGCGTTTGGGATCACCGTAAAGTTTTGATTTTGATCGTTGTCGTGATCTTTCTGACTCCGCTCTGTTCGTTGAACAAGATTGATTCATTGAGCTTGACCTCGGCCGCATCTGTTGCTCTTGCTGTTGTATTTGTGTTGGTCTGTTTCATCGTTGCTACGATTAAGCTTATCGAAGGGACCATTGACCCGCCAAGAATGATGCCCGATTTCGGTTCCAAGAAGGCGATATTGGATCTCCTCGTTGTCATTCCTATCATGTCAAACGCTTACGTTTGTCATTTCAATGTCCAACCGATCTATAACGAGCTCGAGGGTCGGTCCCCTCAGAAGATGAACCAGGTAGGAAGGATCACCACTGCTGTTTGTGTTGTGGTATACGCTTCCACGGCTATATCTGGTTACCTTCTCTTCGGTAAGGACACTGAACCAGATGTTCTTACAAACTTTGACAAAGACCTCGGCATCCGTTTTAGCACTGCCTTGAATTACATTGTCAGAGTCGGATACATTCTCCATCTGATTCTTGTCTTCCCTGTAATCCATTTCTCCCTGAGGGAAACCGTCGATAACTTAGCTTTCGAGGGTTCTCCTCCTCTTTCGGAAAGCATGTAATAAAAGTCTGAAAAATTGGATCTTTGGCCCTTACGATTGTCTTGCTGGTTCTTATCTACATCGGGTCGACCATGATCCCGAATATATGGACAGCTTTCAAGTTCACGGGCGCAACATCAGCCGTTTCTCTAGGTTTTACATTCCCAGCTCTTATATCTCTGAGATTAGGAAAACAGGGGGACAGGTTAAAACTCGGGGAGAAGTCTCTGTCATGGTTAATGCTGATCTTGGCTGTTGTCGTTAGCATCGTTGGAGTCATCGGCAATATATACAGCATGAGAAGCAAATCAGATTGATTCTTAAGCCCTTTCGGGATATTTTAGGATACAAAAAAACAGAAATTTTCGTAGAGTAGTGAACCAGGGGCCTCGGGTTTGAGGCTGACATTCCTGGCGGGATCTCAGTTAGCAGCTCTTGTCCAGGCAGAGCGGGAAGATTTCCCGGCTTGTGAAATTGTTTAGGGTAACGAGCCTTTCCTTGGCCCGATACTCGGATTCTTATGTATACAAACCTTGTCATATGCCACGATTTCGCCATTTGAAATGAAACATCTCTGTTTCCTCTTTTTTTTTTTTTTTTTTTTTTTGTTAACGTGGGGAACCCCTGTGACTACCTACCCTTACAAACGGTGCCGAACTGGCCACCACCCGCGCCTAACAGTCCCCATGGACCTCAGTCCGCCGGACCTGGCCACCAGGCGCGCCTAACGCTCGGGCCGTAGTTGGGCTTAGGCGCCTGCAGGTCAAACCCCCCGCCCACGCGCACGAGCCTGCAACACACGCGGAGGAGGTAAATCAGCCCATTAGGATGAACTGACAGGCGATCAGGTCAAGCGTAAGGAAGAGCGATGTTGGGATTCGATCCCTCCACCTCAGGGTTGCTCACCCTGCTCCCTTACCACCTGACCTGGCCCCGAAGGGCGTAGTTTTAGCTCTTTGTTTTCCGCTTCCGCTGCTGACTAAAATTCTGTGAAGTAGAGAAGGTAACAGACTTGGAAAGAACATGGAACTGAAACTGCTTCCGTACTGTTATTAGATAGATCGTGTCGTTTTATACGTACATACATGTTTTGGAGAACCTGTCTTGACTTCCACCTTCCGAACCCGGTTATCTGGTTTTTGATGTTCCGGTTTATTCCGGTTAAGTTCATTCATAGATACCGAGTTACAACAACATTACGTCTTTCATGATCATGACGAAGAAGCCGATACAACAAAAAAGCCTTACCAACTCTTACACCGTTTTGCCGGTGAGCCGCCGGAAAAATACGCCGGAGACAGGCTAAAACGATACAAATTACACATCACAAAACACACCGAAAAGGCCGCTCGATAAAATCTGAGCAATACCCAAGATTTAGATTTGCGTCTATGATCAGATAAAATTCGTGTAAGACGTTTCTAATGACCCGAAGAAGTGTGTGGCAAGCGGAAAGAGCCTGAGGAGTAGAGGGCCTGATAAACCGGGCGGATTCTTACCGTCAGAACGATGCTTAGCAAAGTCCCGAGGCCGCAGACTCCAGCCAGGACCAAGAAAGTGAGGCGGAAGCAGTCAGGTCCGATACAGGTCTGAGTGGCTTGCTTCTCAGCTTCAATGTCATAGACATGACCAGCGAGAACGGCTGAGAAAATGGTGGCACCGATTGGGTTTCCGAGAAGAATGAAGTTGAAGTTGATCCCGAAATGTTTGAGACCAAAGAGCTCAGAGACAGTGGAGATGGACACAAACTGAAACCCCATGCCAATGGCTATGAGGGCAGTTGCAATGTAAATGGTGTGTTCCAGAGCTGTGGCAAAGAGGAGAAAGGTGAGTGCCATCAACAACTGTGAGGCGCCCATCCAGAATGTTCTCGGAAGCGTTCTTGACCTGAGAGAAACGCGTTAATGGCACGAGTCCAGTATTAGGGTTAGTGAAGAGAGTAAGGAAGAATGGAGATTGACAATGGAAGAGGGTGTGTTTTTATGTTTTACCTGACAAAGTGCTCGGAAATGGCACCTGAGGTGAGACGACCGATGAAGTTGCAGAAGCTGAAGAGACATAAGAGTATTGTTGTATCCTTAACACCGAAAGCGAAGCCAATCTGTGCAAGGTTGTTCGAGACAGTCACACCAGAACCCATGCCGAGGAAATACACAAACCATAGTAACCAAAAATCCGCCTTTACAAACGCTTCCCCGAATTTGAAATCCTCTCCTCTTCTGGGTTTTCTCTTCTTCTTCACGGCACCTTCCCCTTCGGCCAGAAGTATCTCCATGTCCATTGGGTCCTCATCAAGGAGAGAGCCAAGGAATGAAGCTGATGGAGAAGAAGTGGCCAGCAAGGGCTCTTTCTGGGTTGATTCAGTTTCTTCTTGGGCAGAAACTTCCGAAGAATCTGGCAGAGGGCTGTTCCTCCTGGAACTTGCCCGGAAGAACGTCATCTTGATGGGGATTGCAAGAGGAGACATCAAAAGGATCACCATTGTCGCCAGTAGTATATATCTGACTACACTCGACAAGGAAACAACCTCACTCACGATGGTCGTGACAAGCAGATACATGGCAAGCAATATACTTGTCGTTAGGACAAAAGTGAAATGGGCATGCTCGGAAGAGTCTTCACCAAAAGCAGGAGTACATGGCCGGACAAAGTACATAACAAGTAGACATAAAACCGGGACACCAACCGTGAGGAGGAGAAGCAGATTTGAAGGAGAGTGGTAAAGCATCATGCTGTAGAGGACAGTGTATGCAGCTCCACTGATACCGACATAGCCTTTGAGAATGCCACCGACAGTGCCTCGGCTGAAAGGGAAGTTCCTCATGTTGGTGACAAGAATTGCTGTGTTAAACCAAGAGTTGCTATTCGTGGCGATGACCAGCGCAAGGAATAGCTGTCAGAACATCAAGGAAATATCGGTTTTAGGGTTCAAAAGAAACATGGAAGATCACAAGGGATCAATGAAACAACAGTCTATAGTGTTTTTCCTACATGAAAACAGAGAGAAATTTATAGCTTAGTCTCCTGTTCCAAGAACTCGTGAACAGTTTTCAAGCATCAGTTTCCAACACTGAAACTTCAACTCGAGAATGAATCGATTGACAGATTTAGAAATTACAAAAGGTTAGAGAAGATCACACATCAAGCTAGTTAAACAAATCAGCAAATCTCAATATCCTAACTGATAAAGCATAGATTGATCAAACAAAATCCCAACCCAGTAATTTTCTCACGACGATCTCAAATGGGTATCCAACAAATCAAACCAGAAACTCCAATCAAACATTCCCACATCGAAACTCGGAGTAGCCAGTAGTATCTTACCAGCCAAAAGGGCAGACCCTGAACGGTCTCGGTGACGGCGAGCCAGAGAACGCCGAAGCCGAGGAAACAAGCGGAGGCTCCGACGAGGAGCACCGCCCATGGCTGAAGCTTGTTGCTGGCATAGCCGGGGAGGAGACCGACGTTCTCTCCGAAGTCATTGGCAACACCCAAGATGGTGACCTGTTGTTGGTTGAAACCCAACACCGATTTCAGTGCGGCGGAGTAAAGCGGAAACGTCGCGCCGCTTCCCGCCGCCATCTGAACCCACACGGCGGGGGACACC